TTATGCAATCATTTTAGACGAAACAATTGGTTACAAAGTAGTAGACATATAAGCGTTGAAGAAAAGATGGCTATGTTCTTGACAACTATAGCACATAATAAACCGTTCAGGATTATCAAACGAAGGTTTCAACACTCCACAGAAACAATTCATAGATGCTTTCATGAGGTGCTAAATGCAATGATGATTTTTGCAAAAGAAGTTATAGTTCCAACAAATTCTAATGCAACTGTGAATTCATCAGAGAGACATCGTAAGCTAAAATAAATCTTTCTTGGAGTAATAGGCGCATTAGATGGAATTCTCGTGCATGCAGTTGTGTCTGCTGATCAACAAACTTGCTACAGGGGAAGAGGAAAAGGTGAATGCTTTCAAAATGTTTTAGGAATTTGTGATTTTGATATGATATTCACATTCGTATGGGTCGGGTGGGATGGTATAACACATGATTCGCAAGTTTTGAAAGAAGTTGCATTTAACCCGACTTCAGGCTTTCCGTTCCCTCTTCAAGGTTTGTAATTCTTTTTAAACTTATTCTAAAATATTATTTTAAACTTTCTACATATAATACTTCCTTCACTCATGTGTATAGATAAATATTACCTTTGCGATGATGCATACACCAACACTTATGGATTTATGACTCCTTACCGCAACATGAGGTATTGGTTAGCCGATTTTCAACAACGATGTGTGTTAACTAAGGAAGAAAAATTCAACCATGCACATGCACAACTCAGAAATGTTATTGAACGTGCTTACGATGTTTTGAAGGCGAGATTCCCAATCCTAAAGCGAATGACTTCTTTTCCTTTTTCAGTGCAACGAGATATAGTCATTGCTTGTTTTGCAGTCCACAATTTCATAAGGAAATGTGATATTCATGATGAGTTATTTATGGCATTCAAGGAGAACAATGGTCAAGCATAAGGGGAGAGAATGATGGCCAAAATGTAGACGATGTGGAATGGGGTTCACAAGGCAATGAATACATGGATAATTTGCGTGCCTAAATTGCGAATCAATTGGGGCCAAATTAAATTTGTAGGATTTTATTTGGATTTTAGTATGATTTTGTGGATTTAAAAATATTTATATTTGTTTTTGATTTATGCTGAATTTGGATTTTATATGATGTTTATATTTTTTTGATACGTATTGAAGAAATTTATTAGGTTATTTTCTAAACAAACCCTTGAATTCAATAAAAATTAAAACAAAAGGGTAAATTGGTTTTTTTGATAATTCAGCACAACAATTCAGAGGTTCCAACCAAACAGCATGTTAAACATTCAACTCTTAAAATTTCAGACCCTTTTAGAAGTTCAGATCTCTTAATAATTCAGATCTTAAAAATTCAGATTCTGCCAAACAGCCCCTTAATCAGAGGGGCTGAGGGAATGGGGATGATGGTTCGATGCAAAAGAGAGAAGAGAGAAATTGAAAGAACATTGAGCATACCTGATCGATTCTAGTGCAGAGGCGAGAGATGGAGTTGTCAGCGTTAATTGAAGATAGTTGATTGGGAGGTGCCGAGGTGGATACGTGGTGCAATGAACAATGAATGATGGAGCAACTGAGCGAGGGTTAGAAGTGTTGATGACGTTGGTTCGGAGAGCAGGAGGAACCCAAACAATTTCTCTTTTGGGCTTACGTTGTGTAAAGTTAATGGGCTATAACTAGTTCTAAGAAAAAAAATCATTGGGGGGGGGGGGGGGCATAGCCCCTCCTGGCCCTAATGATCCTCTGCGTTTGGTTCTCATGAGTATGCTGTGCGTACCTCACGTACGCCCAATGTATGGGCTGAATTGCGATTCTTTAAACAAGGGACCAAATGTGCATATTTTGAATTGGCTAAGGGCTAAAATGAAAATACCTGAAAACCGAATGTTAAAATTATGATTCTATTTCTGAAAATATATAATATAATATTAAAGTTTTGAACAAGTCTAAAATATGGTCATTGTTCACATTAGTCTTTCTATAATGTATATGTAAGAATCTTGATGATTTTAATATTGTAAACGTTAACGCATACATTAATTTATAATCAGGAGGTACAAGAAAAATACTCTATACTTGTGGAATACAAATATTTGCATGTATAAGACACTTTCTCTATGTCTGTTCGACGATGAAATGTTTCCATTCAAACCGGAGAGAAAACAATTATCCAATTTGACTTAGTTTCTATATATGAAATTAACACAGTTTAAAATATGTACTAGAATTAGAATTCTCACATGTTGTAACATGTATAGAGGAATATAACATGTCAATGTCAATGCAAAATGTATTAGTAAAGCATGTCAAAATGCTTAGTTATGATGTGTTCACATCAAATGTGTTATAAAAAAAAATTATTTGATGAATAAGGTACAATCAAAAAACTATTTTATAACTATTACAATATATATATCTAATATGATCATCTCATATTTTTTTTAAGGACATATCTAGATATTGATGGATAGAATTTTATCGAATAATGTTCTAAATGAAAACAATTATAAAATATAGATGGTTGTAATCTCTATATTGGTCAAACAAAAATTGAGGATGGGAGTGAGTGTATGTTTATATTTTAGAAAAAATTTAGAATTACAAAAATATGGAAAATAATGATTATCAGTTTTTCAAATATTTCCAACCCTTTTGTAATTTTAGAAAACGGAAAATTTTCATTTTCCTTAAAAAATTTAGAAAAATAGACGAACTAAACGCGTTTTCAAAATTCTCATTTTTTTTTTTGGAAAATTTTTCCGAAAAACCACCCATTTTTCCGCTGCTAAATGCACCATAAAGCTCTTAAATAACGAGCACTTTTCCCGTGCATAATGATGCAACTTTACATCTAACACATGTATGTTCCATTTTCTGCATTTCTAACCCCTTCAATTTTGATATAGGCAAAAGCATTCACCACATTCTAGTTGTCCAAAATTAGAAGCAATGGTGCAAGGTTGTTTTAAACTAATTGATTTTAAGAGCGTGTTTGACTTAGATTTTCAAACCCCAAAAGTTTTTTTTGGAAAAGTTACAAAAAATCAGGATTTCCTGACTTTTCCAAAAAGTTCATTTTTCTTATGTAAAAACTTCAAAAGTAGCTTTTAAAACTAATTTGGTAAACTTCTTTTGTTTTTTTTTTTTTTTTTTCCAAAAAGAACTTTTAGCTGTGAAAAACTAAGCCAAACACCCCCTAAGGATAAAGCTACAACCAAACTATAAAACAATTCGATCTGTTTAGATTCTTAAGTTTTAATCATAGTTTGAAATACTAGATAACTTCTAGCTACAAAATAAGTATCTTTGTAAATTTAGACTTAAAATATGTCAACATGATATTGTCCCTTATATGTCTTTGTCATAAATATTGGCTTTAAAAATAATAAAGCGCTGTTGAAAAAATGCAGCAAGCTTTCACCAATTGTGTATAGGTTTTTGGTTGAGATTGACTTTAATGCTCTTCAAAAAAAAATGTAGATTTAATCGATATAGCCCATTTTGGTTTCAAATATTGATTGGTGAATGAGCCTGATTTATTATGCTAATAATTATTTTTATACTTAGATTCAATAAAACATATTTTGGTTTCAAATACTAATTGATGAATAAAACTGTAATGTATTAATAAATTTGTATAGAATTCAATCGATAGTCATTCACACAATATTTTAAAACATAAATTTTAGTTATAACTTGCATACTTTATACTTTTGAAGATATTTGATGCTTGTAGAAAATGTCATTCTAGTGAGTTAAAAAGCATACTTGAGTGCCTTTGTGGTTTGAAGTTTGAATTTAAGTTATAAAAATTAAACTCTTTATTCTGAACTAGCAAGATTTTATAGAAAAAGCTAGCAAGAAGCTACAAAAAAATAAAAAACAATTAAAGCAAAAACAAAACATGCCAAACCAAAATCGGGACAATAGAAAAAAGTTAAACAAAACTTTTCAAACTTTCCAAAACTGGATCATCAATCCAATCCTTCCCGATCAACTCTTTACCTTTCTTCTTCCTAACATTGATCCAAAGATATGCCAAAATCTAAACTTTGGTCGCCAAATTCGTGCAAGTTTCGTGGACCTCAACACTGGCAGAAGGGCCTCCAAACTGCGTTTTGCGGCTCAATTAACTCACTAGAAGACGGGGGAAGAGTACCCAAGCAATGCCACCATTTTCTAATTTCTTCCCATAAGAACCGCCATAAAAAGCTACAAAAATTATGATCTTCGTCTTCAACAACCACAGCTACAGAATTTGCATGTAGAGCTAGATCCAATGTCAGTTTTGAGGAGATTAGACATTGTAGGGTGTCTTCCTTGTTTAATACACCAAGCAAGCACCTTTAATTTCCTAGGGACAATCTTATTCCATATCCATACCTCTTTAGTTTGGAGAAGGCTAAAATAATCACCAATATTTTCAAAATGAGGAGTTCTAGTAATGATTTGAGTTGTCTAAAGATCAAGACCATTTGAATAAATACTGCATTGGAAAAATTCATAAAAACCTAAAAAATTCATAAAAACCTAAAAATAACTTTTTAGATAGATTGACAATTAAACTCCAACATCCACCCTATCTACCTGCTCGTAACTAATTATCAATGTAGCAAGTGATGTCCAGCCTAGCTGGGTTGATGCACCAGGTTTTATACCCATATAGGGCTTGTGGTTAAGAGTTCGATTCCCTTAAACTATTTCTTGTAGTGCCACATGTGGAGAATTTTTCCCTAAAAATCCCTATGAGGGTTAGGTTTGCCCTTTAAAGGAGCTTGTCGAAATACTGCAAGCAAACTTCTACTTAATCAGTTTGCCGTTTCAAAAAAAAAAAAAAAAAAAAAAAAAAAAAAAAAAAAAACTAATTATCAATGCGACTGTTGGTCCGTGTATTTCCTTTACTTTTTCAGATCTAGTAGATTAATGATCTTTTAAGGTGCCTCGTAAATTGGAAAGAAGATCCCAATTTCCAAGCTTCCAAGAACCGTTTTACATAGTGTCAATCAACCAGCGAAAAAAGTCAAAAGTCCACAAAACAAAAGTAGGAGGACCAATTTGAAACTTCTATAATTACCTAAAAGTAGTATAACGGCTCGAATAATCATTTCCCAATCAAGCGAAAATAATATATTCTTCTCCTCTGCTTCTGCTACACTTCTGGCGTAAACCTTTGAACAACCTTCCAAATCGGTCGTCCATGGCAGCAGCTCTCCTTCAGGTAACTCTTAGCAAATGTTGATACTTAGTCTTATCAGCTGATCTACTTTGACTTTAACAAAAGATCTTTGACCAATAGAAGAATGGAAAATCCGTGTCAAATTTATGATCTGTAGCTAACTTTCTTTGACTGAAACATCAGACGATGAAATTACTGAATTAGGGATGTTTCTATTTCCTTTTCTTTTTGCTCCGCTTTGAATTTTATGATAGAAGGAAGTTACGCTTGTGGTGGAATTTGATGTTAATTGATTGTTCAAGTGAATCACACGATAAATTGAAGGTTTTTTATATTTTTTTTCCTAGGGTTTTTATTTGGTTTCTTTATTATGCACTTGTTGGAGTTTGTTGATCCTTTCTTTACTTAATGAGCAAAATTTGGTTGATAATTAGGTTTTTATGACTATGTAGTAAGTTGTTCATAATAATCCACTGGTTTAAGAAGAGTTCGATCAAACTTTCTTTAGTTGACTCAGTAGCTTAAAAAGAAGATAAAATGAAGTTAATTTGTACTTTTGTCCCCTCTGTTTTTCTACAAGAGCTATGCTTCCAACTTTTTATACTATTATTTAACTTGATAAAGGTTAATCTAATTAGCAATTTATCTCAAAAAAGTTCAAAAGTTATATCAATTCGATCCTCAAAATCAAACCCATAGTGCTCAACTTCAAATCACATCCAATGTTGAATGTGGGACAAGGGAGCAACTTTAATTTACTTTTCATTAACATTAATTTAGGTTAATTAAACATGTTACTCGATTGTGGCACACTAAGAATCCCATGTAATCGTGTGTAATCTTTCTTAATTAAAAAACTTTTCCACCTTAAATTCTTCCAATAAAAGTTCATTTCCAGTAAAAATAACTCTTGATAAACTTAGGTGCTCTTCTTACAGGGGTTGTAGGATCCTTGTGTTACATAAATGGGTCAAAAGCTTCATTCTTTAATGGAAACCAAGAGACTGGTGTACCTTGTAGCAGTGGTATTTGCTGTTTTTATGATGTTCCAGTATTTAGAGTTTCCATATGGTGATGTTATATCATCTTTATTCTCTGCAAACAGTGCACAAAAACTCAAAAATGGAAGCTTCCCAACTAAAGATTCATCTCAAATCCCTCAAATTGTTAAAAACATCACTCATTTTCATGGATCTAGTTACACAAAGCCTGTTAGTATACCTTCAATTCTTCTTCCACCATCAATTTCACCATCTCCACCAATAACATTGAATACTACAACACAAAGTGATCCTAAAAAAGACATAGATGCATCAAAATCTTTCCATGATTTTGATAAATCATCATCTGCAAATGAAGTTGCTCAAGTTAAGGGAAGTAATGATCATGGGACAATGGGGGAAGTAGTGACAATTTCAGAGATGCGTGAGATGTTAGGTCATAATCGTGCTTCATTTCGTTCAATGGTTTGAACTTTTTTTTTTTTTACTTCTCATTATAATCATATGAATTGTTGCTTTTAAAAAGGGTATCTTTTTGTGTTTTTATAGAAACCAAGATGGTCTTCAGCAGTTGATCAAGTATTATTGGATGCAAAATTTCAGATCGAGAATGCTCCTGTCATTGAAAATGATCTCACACTTGATCCTTCCCTTTATGTTAATGTTTCAAGGTTTAAAAGGTACACAACGCAAAAATTACAACTTAGTTTTTAATCTAAGGGTAAAATTGTCATTTATTTTTGTCATTTCTTAATATAAGGGTAAAATGGTCATTTCAAAAGGTACCCAACCCAAAAATTACAAAACACCAAAATTTACAACTTAATTTTTAATCGAAGGGTAAACTGGTCATTTATTTTTGTCATTTCTTAATATAAGGGTAAAATGGTCATTTAAAAGGTACACACAAGCCAAAATTTACAAAACCCAAAAATCACATCATTTTTAATCTAAGGGTAAAATGTTCATTTATTTTTTCCATTTCCCTTGATGTTAATGTTTCAAGGTTTGATTTGTAGTCTATTATCTATGTTTGTTATATCTTGATATAAGGGTAAAATGGTCCAGAAATGAACAATCTTTATATATATACGATACTTCATTCCACTAGACATCATTAGTTCATTATCCATATAACACTTCATCCATTGAATAAAAAACAAGTGCACATGCATTATTACAATTATCATATTATTATTATTATTAATATTAAATTCAGGAGCTATGAATTAATGGAAAAAACACTCAAGGTATACATATACAAGGAGGGAGAAAAGCCTATATTTCATCAACCACAAGCAGTGCTTAAAGGAATATATGCATCTGAAGGATGGTTTATGAAACACATGAAAGCAAGCAAACATTTCGTCACTAAAAATCCAAAAGAAGCACATCTTTTCTACTTACCTTTTAGCTCAAGAATGTTGGAAGAAAAATTATACGTTGTTGATTCTCACACTCACAAAAACTTGATTCAGTATTTGAAGAAATACCTTGATTTAATTTCTGGAAGATACAATTTCTGGAATAGAACTTCTGGATCTGATCATTTCCTTGTTGCATGTCACGATTGGGTAAGCATAAGCTGTGAAATTCTCATTCCATTCCTCTTTCCTTGATATCATAATCCCCTTTTAACACAATCGCTTACATTTTTTTATGATATTTAAGGCCCCATCTGAAACAAAGAAATACATGAACAATTGCATTCGCGCAATGTGCAATTCCGATGTCAAAAACGAAGGATTCGAATTAGGAAAAGACGTTGCATTACCTGAAACAACGATTCAATCAGCAAAAAATCCATTAAAACAGTTCGGTGGTCAACCGCCTTCAAAACGGTCAACCCTCGCCTTTTTCGCCGGCCGAATGCACGGAGACCTCCGCCCAATTCTCCTACGCTATTGGGAAAACAAAGATCCTGAAATTAAAATCTTCAAAAAACTCCCGAAATCCAAAAACAATAAAAACTATATCGAATACATGAAATCTAGCAAGTTTTGTATATGTGCTAAAGGGTATGAGGTCAATAGTCCAAGGGTAGTGGAGGCTATTTTCTATGGGTGTGTTCCCGTGATTATTTCGGACAATTTTGCCCCTCCGTTTTTTGAGGTTTTGAATTGGGAATCGTTTGCGGTTTTTTTGAAGGAGAAAGATGTTCCGAATTTGAAGAGTATTCTTGTGTCGATTTCGGATTCGAGGTATTTGGTTATGCAGGAAAGGGTAAAATTGGTACAACAACATTTTTTGTGGCATGTTAAGCCTGTGAAGTATGATATTTTTCATATGATATTGCATTCAATATGGTATAATAGAGTGTTTAGAGTAAATCCTAGGTAATGTACAAAGTTTACTTTTTTTTTTGTTTATCTCATAGATTTTTTTGTGTAACTATTAAAATATAAGAAAATAAAAAATCATACAGCCATATGCACATTGGATTATTGATATTTAAGCTAACTGCTATGGATGAATTTCATTTTAAAATTTTGGAAAATGACTTAAAAATGTAACAAAGCTTCAAAAACGTACAAAAAAGATCATTGTTTTATGACAAAATTTCACGATTGGTCCCTGTGGTTTACACAATATCGCACTTTGAGGACTTTCTAGCAAAAACTCACGCGAATGGTCCTTAAGGTTTCATTTAATTGCGCGATTGGTCCTTGACCCTAACCCCGTCATTTTTGAGCCGTTAGTGAAGGGGTAAATTTGTCTTTTCATCTTGCAGTCACTCTAATAATCGATCATTATGCACATATACGCATGAACTCTGTAATTAAGTACAAAGATCATCTTCCTCCTTCCTCAGCTACCCATTACCCTTTCGCATTCATCTTCGTCTTCTCCAACAGAACACAAGGCAGAGGATCATCTGTCGATTGAAAACGATAATGGTGTTAACGTTATGGTCACTTCGTTCCAAACACACTAAAGCATCAAATTATGATTTGGAAAGGATATACCGTAAGTGACTTACTAAAGTGATCTTTGATTTTCTCGATTTGATATTATGCCCAAATTGTTGAAATTTTTTTTGTTATTCTTTATTTCAGAGGGAACAAGCAACTATTTCACTCTGAAAATCCATCATGGTGGGATATTCACGAAAAGCCCTGGGAGAAGGTACGTAGATGGAACAATAGACTATGTTGACTTCGTAGATATTGACGTATTCTCTGTGCATGAGTTGGATACAATGGTTCGAGAAATAGGGTACGTAGAAGGGCAAACTTTGTATTATCATTTTCTTATTCCAGAAGTCGAGTTGGACTTTGGTCTGTTACCTCTAGGAAATGATGGGGATGTGCATGTATTGTCAAATTATGTGGAAAAAAATAACCTTTTAAGTATCTACATAGAGCATGGGCACACAAGGGTTAACAGTTATTTTTTGTCCCCCACCAAGGTTATTATTGAGGAGTTGGTTACTGATGTATCCCCTGAACTAGATAGGAACCAAAAGAAGGGAAAAGTTGTTGGGTCTTCTAGGAAAAAATTAGACTACTCCCAGTCCATTGTGCCATATGGAACATTTGATGGACCTTCACAAGTGATACAGGATAGTGAGCCAGTTATGGATGATGAGCCAGTTATGACTGATGAGCCAGTTTTGAATGATGAACCAGTTATGACTGATGAGCCAGTTTTGAATGATGAACCAATTATGAATGATGAACCAGATTTGAATGATGAACCAGTTATGAATGATGTACCTGTTATGAATGATGTGCCAATCATAGATGACCAATATGATGAGCCAGTTATGAATAATGATCCAGTTGTAGATGATGAATATGATTGTGGGGATAGTGCAGATGAAAGTGATTTTGATAGTCAGCATGATGCAGAAAAAATAGTGTTTGATGAGGAACCTTTGATAGATGATGTGGAGGTGAACATGATCAACTTCTGTAGTGTACTTGATGAAGACATTGACTTGGGCCAGCTTGATCCGACAAACAATAATACTAAGGAAAAGGAAGACATTGAAGATGAACGTTTAGAAGTCTTAGACAATGATGTATTTGAGTCATTTGCTAGTGAAAAAGAGCCTAGGAAGAAATTGTTAAGGTCCATTCTAAAACCAGTTGCTTGTTCATCTGGTGAGGTTCACACTAAAGCTTTTAAGATTGGTCAGACGTTCAAGGAAAAGGAAAAAATAAGAGAAGTTATTGCCAACTACTCTGTAAAAGAAAGGAGGGATCTACATTATGTAAAGAATGACAAGACAAGAGTTAGGGTAAAGTGTAGGGGTATTGTTCCTGAATTGACTGGTGACAGTAATAAAGATAGGGGCAATTTAGTACTTTCCAAGAAAACAACTTGTCCATGGGTTCTTTTTATATCTAGGGCAGATGAGAAACAACTTTGGACTGTCAAAACATACGAAGATTCTCATTCTTGTTTGCAAACAAGGACAGTGAGGGCTTGTTCATCTAAGTTTCTAGCTAACAACATATTGCATCAAGTTGAAAGTAACCCCAAGATCCCTACACGTGCTTTACAAGAGGAGTTAGTACAGAGGTATTCACTTTCAATATCAAAGATGAAAGTATTTCGGGCCAAAGCTATGGCAAAACAATATGTTTATGGTGATTATGAAAAGCAGTACGGTGTTTTGAGAGAATATGCCATGGAATTGAAGTCAAAGAATCCAGGAACAACTGTGAAGATAGATGTCGAAACTGAACCCAATGTGTCTTCTGAGACAAGGATCTTCAAACGGATATATATATGCTTAGGTCCATTGAAGGAGGGATTTAAAAAAGGTTTGAGGGATTTTCTTGGATTTGATGGTACGTTTTTGAAGGGTCCCTTTCCAGGACAAATTCTTACTGCAGTTGGGCTTGATTCGAACAATGGCATTTACCCAGTTGCATATGCCATTGTAGAGACTGAAAATATTAACTCTTGGACATGGTTTTTGGAACACTTGGGTGATGACTTAGATTTGAATTCTTCATCTAACTTCACTTTCATTTCAGATCGGCAAAAGGTACCCTCTAACTTTTTATTCACTTTTACTTTTTTTTATTATTTCATTTACTAACTTATTTTAATTGTACTCACAGGGAATCTTGGCTGCAATAGAGAAGTTATTTCCATCAGCTGAGCAAAGGTTCTGTTTAAGACATGTGTATCACAACATGAAATTGAAACACAAAGGAGATGAATTGAGGGAAGCAGTATGGTGTTGTGGAAAAGTATACAACATACCAAAATTTAATAGGGCTATGGAGAAACTGAAAAAGCTTAACCCAGAAGCACATGAGTGTTTAAGTAAAATTCCTGCAAAACACTGGGCAAGATCCCATTTCTCTGGTAAGTATCATACTCTTTTCACTAACATATTTCATAACTGATTTCAGTAATTAATTGTTTGGTTTTATATATAGGAAGGGCATTGACTGATAGTTTAACAAATAACTTGTGTGAGGTATTTAACTCCAAGCTAGATGAGGCAAGGGACAAGCCTATAATCACTTGTTTGGAATATATTAGAGAATACCTCACAAAGAGAATAGTAAATGTTCATAAGGTGCTAGACAAATGCAAAGGTTCTCTAAGTACAACTGCAACAACAATCTTAGAAAACAATAAGACAGAGGCAAGTAAGATGAGGGTTCTATTTAATGGAGCTGATAAATATCAAGTGACTGGTCTATGGATGGAGCAGTATGTTGTGAATTTGAAAGAGAGGAGTTGCACTTGCAGGAAATGGGACATTACAGGTATTCCATGCCAGCATGCTATTGCTGCAATGTATGATAAGATGCAGAATGGGTCAGAATGTGGAGATCCTGAGGCTTGGGTGAGCAAATGTTACTGGCTCAGTACATGGAATGCTATGTACCAACACACAATTGACCCAATAAATGGAAGGAGCATGTGGCCTAGATCTGATTGTCCAACAACCCTTCTCCCACCCAAACATCACAAACAGGTTTGTTGTCATACATGTTTTGTTTAATTTAACTTGAAACTATTTAATAAACTTGTTAATATGTAACCATATGAATTTGTTTATAGGTTGGTAGGCCAAAGAAAAAAAGGAAGAGGGCAGTTGATGAGCCAACTCAAAGTACCAAGTTAAGTAGGAAACACTTGACAGTCACTTGTAGCAAATGCCACAACAAAGGTCACAATGCTAGGACTTGCAAGGGGCAGGGAGGTCCTAGTGAAGCTGGATAGGGGGGTGGACAAAAGAAGGGAAAACATGTTGTAGCTTAGTTTGTATTTCTAAGTAATCTTTTGCTATTATGTCTAATTAAAGTTAGAACATGTTTACTAAGTTTGGTTATGGTATGTCAGTCAAAACAACTACTTTTGATAGGTCTTTTGGGTATTCTATGTTTGTAACATGATATTACACTTACATGCATTATGGTTAATGGTAATGCTACTTTGGTAATTAGTTTTTTGGCTATGTTACTGCACTTTAATAATCAACATTACACTTACATGCAATCAAATTGACAATTTCCTTCCTTGCTAATATAATATCCATCACATTAAAACAAAACATCAAACTTACATTACATATTATATCTGTTACATTTTCTTGTCCCAACATTACATACAATCATAGGGAAAATCCTTCAAAAGCTATGACAAAATGGGACCAAAAGACAGATTCCAAGTTATAGATTCCCCCCCCCCCCCCCAATGCTTCTTGATTTTTTACTTGAAAAGGTAACACACCATGAAAAACAACCAACTCAGACAAAGTAGCCATTTCACCATCATCAATCTTGCTTCGAGATTGTTTCTTCCACGCAACAACCCTGGAATCACAACAGTTGACCTAGGGCACATGGGAGGGTCGAACCATCCAAAAAAGCTGCATGTTCCTCCTAACCTTGAGCATGACCAAAATCGACGACCTGGGTTCAAGTCAGTCCACGATGTCACCAAAATCGCCGGCCTTCCACAGTGGCATATCACCATCTTCTTCAATTTTGGAATAGAATGTGAGTAGGGAGGGAAGAACAGAGGTAAGGAACGAGAAGTAGAAGGATACAAAGGCAAAACTTAAATTATATACTCTGATGCACAACAAGATGAAAAGACAAATTTACCCCTTCACTAACGGCTCAAAAATGACGGGGTTAGGGTCAAGGACCAATCGCGTAATTAAATGAAACCTTAAGGACCATTCGCGTGACTTTTTGCTAGAAAGTCCTCAAAGTGCGATATTGTGTAAACCACAGGGACCAATCGTGAAATTTTGTCTTGTTTTATTTTTAGTAAACAAAATACCATTTTACCGGCTATTGTAGGTTACCCGGTTTCCAAATGTTCAAAAAATACCATTGTTTTTTTTTTTTAGTACAAAAAATGTCATTAATATTACTATTTATACACAGAATACCAACGAAATACACATGTGCTCAACTAAAACATTGTGGTAACCAGATACTTCAGGTGAACGGAAAAATAACTTAAAAGTGTAATGAAGTTTCCAAAATGTTTAAAAAATACCACAGTTTTTGTTAACTATGTTGTTGTCGGATTATGTAGAACACAATCACCGGAGATCATGAACCGTCATATCAATTCACAACAATAATGCAAATCTCTTTCATTCCTTCAATTGATCGCTCTTGTGATAACAAGAGAAATAAGTGGGTAATAACATTAGTTAAACATTCTTGCTTCTCAATCACATTATATGCCTCATACCTAAAACATATATACGTTATATGCCTCATACCTAACTTTGATGCACATATTATACATCAAAGTTAGCCGCTCATTAGTGTTGCGGCATAAGAGAGAC